TAATAATATTAAGTACAGAATAATGAAATTTGTTTTTAAAAATGTAGATACATTTTATTTGAAATAAACCTATAGGTTTTTTAAATTATAAAAAAAAATTACGAAATTATTAAAAATGCAAGTCATCAACATCCCATCTCTATATAGGTATTAGTAAAAATTAGAAATTAGCAGTGGTATGATACATATTATTATTATCGAGTTGCCCGTATTACCTATCTGTATATTATTATATATTATACTATATTGTAATTTATATTGTCATCCATATCCCATGTATAGATAGCGTAAAGCGTGCATAGCAACGAATATATTATATATATAGTGCCGGCTAACGTATAGAACCTTTGTAATAATATAGCACCCTGCAGTAGGTACTCTATATATAGGACCCCCGCTGCACTAGTATATAATATTATTTTAACATAATATATTGTTTATTAATGTTTTGTCATCCCATAATAAACCTGAGTAGGTGTATTGTGTTTAATTTTCATGTGTGTACTTACTAATTACTAATAATTACTACTATGAACGTCACCAGCACGCTCGCTATGATGACGTTTTATATAATATATTATAACAAACGCTTTTTACGCAGACTGTAATATTATCATAACAGTAATATTAGACGTGATTAATCACGATTAGGTAGTTGAACGAATCAGATTTCGATGACTGCAAATCTGCAATAATATAATACATAATATTAAGATAATATATTATTATATTATATTCGTTGACTAGTCTGCTACAGTCGTGAACAATATTAAATTGTATTATTATTATGCCCCGTAGTAAGCAGATATTATGGTATTTAATGTTAAACTATTATTTAGACGGTGGAAAGCCATATTATAATATTCGTAGACGTTAAGTAGATGATTTATTTTTCATGCGTGTGGTATAATTGTAACGATTCGTAGGCGGTGTAAATGACGTACAACTATTGTTTTACACATTTTTCCCGGCCAAATGCGCTGTTGTATTTATTTTCACTTACGTGTATTTTTGACAGTACGACGACGAGGACGACGAGGAAGAGTTGTTGGAGCAGCAACAGCAGCAACAGACACAGCGACACAATAATTATGGAATACAACCGGCGGCACAACAGGTGGCCGCGGCGTCGGGAGCGACGTCCGACAACGACAGCAGTGGCACGATCAGCGGGATGTTGGCCGACTTTAGCCGGTCCATAGGTAAACGCGTTTAAAATTCATCACCTGAATTTTTGAACGAAAACACTACTCGTGATTGACGACAGTAACGAATTGATAATGTACCAACGCCATTCCGCGTTATCACCAATAATAAATTATCCATTTCCCATTTAACGTTTTGCAACGGACAAGGCAGAATTTTTCATCACAAAATTACCTTTGCACTTTAATCATCAGGGCATAAGGTTAACATTAGGTACTATCATGTAGAAGGGGGGCTCTTTAAGTAATTCTTCAGAATCAATATAAGGCTTTGAATATTTGAGACAGGGACTGGAACCTTTTGAATTTATAGGTATCGGTTCCATTACTGGTTCTCCAAAAATAAAATAACTGTTCCGGTTCAGTTTTGGTTTTTTGAAAAGAAAAAATAATAATGGTATCGGTTCCAAATAATTTAGGTATCGGTTCCAGATAATTTATTTACCGGTTCCAGATAGTTTATTTACCGGTTCCAGATAATTTTAAATGCCTATCCGGAATGCTGGTTTAATTAAAAGTATGTGGACTATTAGAAAACTCGTATGATCATATACATAGTTTATACACAAAGCAGTAATACCATAAAAATTTTGGTAAATACATTTTTTTATTTTGAACCTAAAACAACCTTTTTAATTTAAAAATTAGGTCTCGGTTTATTAAAATAAAGGTTTCGGTTCTGATTCCAGTTCTTAATATTTTAAAAGTTCCGGTTCCAGAACCGGTTCTTTTAGGTTCGGTTCCAGTCCCCGATTTGAGATTTAAATATTATTCCATTGTATGAGTAGGTTTACTATTATATATGTTAGATAATTATTGTTCATGAATTATTACAAAGTTTATCTGACTTAATTTTAAATATTTTCTACTACTGTTGAATGAAGAATGCATATTTCGGTGAATTAAATTTATTATTAAATTAATTTATTATCATCAACAATTTGGTCTCGGCAGAGTCAGCTTTCTAAACATTTTGTATATTCAGAATGTATTTGAGTCATAACTAAATTTTGGGTCATTAAGACGTCTTCATCCGTGACAACTCATTTATAACTGACGATTTTAATTAAAATAACTTGCTTAAATATAATCTTTAAGCTACCAATTATTTCAAACGACGGCTGTACTTCATAACTTCTATATATTTTAATATGCAAATAAAAGCGCTGTGTGAAATCTTGGATATAATTTAGTACTTTTTTTTTAGTGGTAAATATTGCCACCACCTATTTGGTGAAAAGTAATTGCATTTTTTTTATGATACGCCATTTAACAAGGAATATCAAACAATAAAAAAATAAAATCATAACACAATATACCTACCATTGAAATAAATTATGTACATTCCAATCAGATGGCACTACCATTTAATAAATACATTTATAGAGGTCGGATACGACTAGATCAAGAACTCATGAATATCCAGTCAAGTGGATTGAGCGCGAAGAGACCATTGAATGGCCTACTAGCCCCAGTTTTAAATCCACTTGACATTCTTGTCAAATCAGTGATTTTAATTATTGCATTATTAAGCACAATACCTATATTTTAACAAAAAAAAAAAAAATAATATAATGTACGATGAGTGACAGATAAATAAATAGAATAAAACGTTGCTGTTCGCAATGTACCTATATTGCTTACACATTACACCCCAATGAACATTCAATATTTCAATTAAAAAAAAAAAAAAATGCCGATCTAGATTGGCAGGTACTTATATTGCTGTGTATTTATTTGTCATTTAAAAAATGTACAACAAAAGGCTATGTCGGTATGCTTTTAGCTTATGAGCTTAAATACTACTGAACCGATTTTTACGAAAATGTCAACGATTATTCTCAAAGATATCAGAAACGTTTAGAGAGTGGTTTATACCACGTTAGAAAATATACCAAGGGCAATATCAGTGACGGGTGGATTTTCCGTCTCGGTCGAATTAGTTAACTAAGCGAGGTACACCGGTGCAGATTTTCTAGTGAATTGAGATGCACTAAACTCGAAATACACGGATATAAGTAACGCTGTATTTTATGTCTGATCATTTTTTCCGTAGTCAACTAGTAACTATAGGCTAGTAACTATATAACCTAACCACACGTACCTATTATGTATCTTTGATTTTTGGCCTTTGCCAAATAATCACAAAAGATGGATATATTTTTGTTTCTTCTTACTGAATCGTATTAATTTTTCAGCCAACATGAACGGATCGACGACGACGACAACGACGACTCCGTTGTATAACGGTAGTGACAAATTTGGCGAAAACAACAACAAATACGATTCCGTGCCAAGCGATAACGCCCAAAAACAACAATATCAACAACAGACACAACATCAACAGCAGCAATACCAACAGCATGGTTTCACCGACGGGTTTTCGACGTCCTCCGGTACAACGACCCAACTGCGACGCACCCAATCGATCATCAGTCAAAACCTGCGCGACCAACAGTACCAGCTGTACTGCACCGGTTCGTCGCCGCCGCTCCAGCAGCTACAACCGGTACAGCAACATCAGTACGGTGACACCGCCGCGTCTCAACTGCAGCAGCAAACCGCCAACAACGCTTACGGACCGGCGGAAGACGGCGGCTTGTTGTACGGAACCGGTGGCGTCGGAACAGGACCGTCGAGCATCGTCGCCAGACAGGCGCAGCAACAGCAACAAACTATAGCCGCTGCGTCACAGCTGCGACAGCAACAGTACACGGCCTCCGGCATCGCCACTGCCAATAGTTTGCAGACCGAAACGAATTACTCGTCGCCGATTGGCACCGGAAACGCGGCCGCGATGCAACAACAGTCGTTCTATAACAAACGAGGAGACAGCAGCGGCGCTCTGTTTAACTGCCAACAACAGACATATCAACAACAGCAAGACGTCTTGTACCAGCCTTATCAACCGGAATACGGCACATATCAGCAACAGCAACAGCAACCGCCACATCAGCAATCTCAACATCAGCAACAGCAACAACTCTCGTACAATCAAATGCAACAACAGCAACAGCCAAATCAGCAACAACCAAACCATCAACAGCCAAACCAGCAGCAGCAGCAGCAATATAATCAGTCACAACAACAACCGCAACAGCAGTATCAACAGCCGCAGAACCAACAATACCAGTCGAGTCAACTGCAGCAATATCAGAGGTTCCCGAATCAAGATCAACAGCAGCTGCCGTTGACTGTCGGCGATAATTCCCACCAATACAGCATCGAACAACAACTTCAACAACAACAAAATAGGGTGGACATTAACTCCGGTCAAAACGTGTCTGCTTTAACGATTGGCGGATTACCGGTTACTTCGGGTGGTATAAAATACGATTCAACGGCGTCGGAACTTAGTTCCACTGCGTTTAGACCGTTGCAGCAGCAACAAGGCCAAGTAAGTAACTATAATCATATGGCTAATGTATACAGGAGTGCGTGGACTTTGTCGGCTGCATAAGTCGTACATTTACGATTATTTATCGGGTTTGATGATAATTTATGATTGAGGTAGATGATAGATTACACCCTCTTACATACCTAATTATAATATTTTTATAAAAAAAACGAATATATTATTCTAGTCATTACATGAGTTTTAAAAAAAATCGACTATTTAACACTCAGGGTTAAAATTATAGTAAAAATATTGTTTGGTAATTTTAAATTGCTTTTATTTGAATTTTATTCCTCGTATATGTAAATAAATATTATCAAAATATTATACAGTTATTGGCTCAGTTGTATTCAGATATTACATTTTGTCTATAGAAATTTATTTTTAACAGCGCCTCCATAAACAATAGAATGTATTGTTAACGATTTGATACTTGATAACGAATCAATTGATATTATAATAATTGGCGATTTAATTGAAACAGCAGACCAAGTCCTTATGTTCACGTATACATTATTTAATTAACATTGGTCCTTTTAAATCAGCTGTAATTTGTGGTGTTACAGCGTTGCGACAATCCTACGGCTACTGCGCTGCAGCAGCAACATCACTATATCAATGGCAACAACTACCAGCAACAACAGCCACTGCAACAGCAACAACAGCCACAAAATCAGTTGCAGCAGCAGCAACAGCTGCAGAACAGTACTTTAGCGCCGGTCAGTGGTACCAGTACGGCCAGAGTAACGGTACTGCTAAACTCGTCTTCAGCCACAGCGGACCAGCAGCAGACAGGTGTCAAAGCTTTGACTGGTGGATCGGCTGCCCTTAAATATCAGACGGTCGGACAGCAACAAACCTCTACGTCACAGGCATCGACTTTGCACCGTAAGCTGCACCAAATGTTTGAGTTGTTAACCTCGATGTTAAAAATTTTAACACCCCAAACTAAAAAAAATAATTGAAGACTTTCCATTTACGGTGTTGTGACGTTCATAAAACCCATTTAAATACAGTTTTAGGTCAAAACAGGTGCCCGTGTGGTATACTGATAAATTGATATATTACCCACCCGATTTAGTTGTATAACAGTGGACATCTATAATTTATATACTGAATTTATGGCAATCAGCGCTTTAAAAATTGTAAGAAATTAAATTAAAGTCACTTTTAAATACTCTAATGTATAGAGTATACCTACTATATAAAATAGTGCATACTTAATGAGAGCGTTTGAATGATAATATTATTCATTTAAAACTTTTCAAGCAAAGTTTGTAATAATTATTAACAATATACATTATACACTTATAATCCTCTTAACTTAAACTTTAATTAAAAAGTGAGTTTAAAAGACGCGTCTTCGTTAATAACTTACAAGACGATAAAACAGAGGTCCGTAAAATAAACGATAAAATAACCGACAAATCGTCAAAATGAAAATGTCTGGAACGAAAACAAAAGAAAAATATCTTCATTATCTACAAGATTTATTTCCACGCTCAATTTATTCTTTTGACAAATAATTAAGACTGATGTAGTTACACTAACATTTGTTGTCCCCGTCTTACAATGCGTAATATAGAAAATTGTACGTTCAGCAGAACACGACGTGTAGCTCCATTAGTTTAAAAATTGGAGTGAATTGACTTATAAAATTTAAAGGTAAGATTATTATCTAGGCAATGACTTAAGATTTTAATTATATTTTAATCTTAAAATGAGCTTTGAGTATTTTAAGATATACAAACCATTTACAATTTTTAAATACTCACAACTTGTTTTAAAATTAAAATATAATAAAAATAATTTAATATCGCCTAGATAATAATATTACCTTTAAATTGTATAAGAGGTAGATTCACTCTAATTTTTAAATTAGTGGGGCTACACTTGTTCTGCTGAGCTTAATATTATCTATGTTACGCACTATAATATGGAGACGACAAATGTCTGTGTAACGTCCTCTAAAACGAAATCCTTCGAATCGAGAGATTCCGTCACACTAAATCGGTTTATAAACGTATTTAATAGCCTTTAGAACACTTTATAATACCTATTAGATATAAATACAGTATTACTCGTTTGTTGTCAACTTATTTTAGTCATTAATTTACACAATCTTTGCGTGTGTTCTCTCAGCGACACCGCCACAGCAAAACACACCGGTCGGCACGCCCAGGGGCGCCCTGCTGATCAGTGGCGGCGGACTTGGGCTCAGAGATTTGACGGCATCGCCGTCGGACACGCTAAGCGAACCGGACTCGATGCGCTCGTCCTCCTTGAGGGGTAGCAACGGTCGGGACGGTCGACGTCGGTTGCCAGACTTACCGCCACCAGACCTGGAGATGGCTGGGGTACAGTGGCCAGCGGCTGCAAACGCTAAGCGCCGCGAGCGCATGATGAGAGCTATGATGGACAAGTTCAAGTAAGTTTACGGTGTCGTCGCGCAGCTGCTAATACTCACCGAGGATGTCTGTAATGTGTCACCAATCATATCTGTTTCGGCTACAATAAGACACAAAAGTTGCAAGTCTACTGTCTTGGGTATCCAACGATTGTGTAAAATAATACAGGATCATCGACCGAGCATGATTACCCCTTTGTTTCTTCTGCAACAACGAAGTTATTCAAAATCTGAATTTTGTAATTTTTAAACATACCTACTCTAGACCATAATATTTTGAAATCCTTGAGAATTTTCATCATGGGTGTCATGTGGATTTGAGGACTTCTTTTTTTCAAATTACGATAACCCCCGTTTTCTACTATCAATTGTATAGCGGATCATTTTTCTGAAAATGTCGACAAATCAAAATCAAACCAGTACTTTTTGAGTTATGTATCTTACATTGTACACTAAGAATAATATAGATTCGTGAAAATGAATTTAAAACATAATATGGGGACCATGGTGGTTTGAAAAATTTTGTAAATAATATTATTATCTATCAACATGGAGCTAACACCTATTATATATTTTTGTTAACTCATTTTTAAGGACTATTATCATTATAGTATTAACATATTAATAACCGGGTTAAACTAATCGTTCAAATTTTGAACTAGATAGGTACATCAACGTCTTCTAAACAAATATTTACTTAATAATTTATAGAGTAAAAAGGGAGGTGGTTCTCATTTTGAAAATTAAGTTTGTATAGTGGCACTCATTTAGTAATTAAAGAAATCTTAAGAACTTAAAAAGACCTATGATTTATTTTAAAAATTTAGAAAAATTGAATTTGAATATATTCATTATTAAAGGAAAAAAATGGGAGTGTGTATGATTGGTGAATATTTGTTATCCTGTAAGATAATGTTAACCCAAAATATCGTCGGGTGATAATATATACAGTTATTTATCCTTTGCTATGAATATTGAATATGTCTTCCTATTAATTTAAAATATTGCTATCTTAAGGTAATCAATTTATAATCATAAAATCATATCCATTCTGAACTTCAATATTTATTGAAGTTTTACCGCATTGTTTGAATCAAACAAATAACACGTCTTGCCATCTATAATTTTTTTTTGTAAATGTGATTTTGTATTTCAGAACTTCAAATTTTAATTTTTAATTTTCAAATAGAAGAATAAAACAAGCTAAAATCACACATTAAAGAATCATTACCATTTGTTAGTTGTAATAAGGTGGATATGATGATAATTATAAGGTTGGAAAGTACAACCATTGGATTTTTTTTATAAAAATGCATATTATGCAGCACTTCATTCCAAAAATATTAATCAGTAATTAGGCATACAAATAACTGAAAAAAAAAAACAAAAAAATTAAATAAAATGAATAATTCAAATCTTTAATCATATTATAATTGAATTTCTAATATAGCTGCTAATAAATACTTTAAATTAAATATATTATTTATTAACAGCTGTATTAAAAACTTTAGATTAAATATCTTATTTATTAACAGCTATAATTAAAAACTTAAGAATACTTTAAATTAAATTTTCCAAGAGTGTCGTCAGTGGGCGGCTTATCCTATCAAGCCTTTCTGTTATCCTTCTTCTTTAATGTAATTTAAGTTTATTGTTAGTCAAAATAAATATAGATTATTTACATTTACTTTTATTTGAAATAAAAGTTTAAAAAAAAAATATATATAAATATATTAATTAAAAATAAATATTTGAACTGCTTTTCAAAAACATTTGTAATGTAAGGTAATATAGGGTTATATAGTGTAAAAAATATAATTTAATTGTCTTATAGATACTACTAAAGATAAGATAATATTATTTGAAAACGTTAACTCAAATAACTTACATTTTATTAATTTAATTTGATAATTATTATTATAGGTAATTGAGTTTTTTTTTTGTATAGATAATGCAATTTTTAACTTGTATATTATTAACATTTTAACGATATTGTGTACTACCAATTCGAATAAAATTCCAGAAAAATAATATGAGTACAATTTCGGACTGACATAAATTTTACTTTACCACACATATTTTGTTGCTGGTTGATACACAAATAAAAATATAATGCAATGCATGTATGCTGATGTAAATCAGATTATTTTAATTTTTATAATTAAATACTTTTCATGTCTCATACACAAAACTATTTCTCTAAAAGAAACCCATAAGTAATAATATTATCTGCTTTTAATGTAAATAATGCAGTAACACTTCAGAATGGATATGATTTCAATGCAATGATAAATTATTCCATTAATTACATTAACTAAACTTTTATTAAAACTTATATTCGTCTAATTTGTCCAAAAACCGATGGCTACGGATTAGCCTTTGTTCGTGATGGGTTAATACGGGTCCCGTATAATGTGCCAGTGTTGAGCCAATGTTGGTCCATACCTTTAAGTACTTGTATGTATAGTTTTCGGCCCGTATTGTACAAGAGCTGAGAAAGCTATGAAAGATACTAGCCAAACTTTGCTCACAATCAGTTAAGCTTTCCTTACTCAAGTATTTAGTCAACACTTCGGTTTCCAGTACAAGCTTTGCTTCACTATAGTGCTGTAGAACTGCCGAACTGGCTAATGTTGTGACATGTAGTATTGTGAGTGTCTGCGTGAGTCACACATTTTTAATTGTGGTAGTACTTCACAGGTCAATATGGTACCTGACCTCACATTGGATTATGTAAAACATCAATTATTGAGTATGGAAACTCTGTACGATTGTAACAATTTTAAAAATGTCATTGATTTCGAACATGATGAAACATTTTAATGTTTGGTTACATTTTTAAACCGCTAAGTAAATCTATGAGCTTAAACTTTCACATTTTGTTTCACAAGTTTGAATTTAAAAATAAAAATGATACAATATTGTTCCAAGTACAGGCCACATGGATAAATGTAACACAATATGTGTTTTTAAATTCCTCAATTTGAATTATTTAATTGTTTAAACGTTTGTAACAAATAAAATAACAAAAATGCTTCAACTAAAAGTAGATCACAAAATTATAAACAATACCTATACAGAGCAGTTTAATTTTAACTTGATAATAATAAATAAAATAAGATGCATTTAAATTCCAATAAATATTTATGTGTTATATAACATCGAACTGGGAAAGTGACTTATTGGGATTTATAACTTAAAATACAAATAATCATAATATTTGCACTATTGTGACATAAACAAAAAAACTAATATTTATTAGATAGGGATAATTTTGGTAGTTTAATCTTACAACTGTCCCTTGATCAACTGTTACATAATTTATTTTATTTTTTTTAAATAGGTAGGCAACAAACATTGAAACATTTAAAAAAATATTTTCTAGATAGAGCTTTCTCAAAAAGACCAATTTAAAGTGAACTTATTAGTTTATTTTCATATAATATATCATAAATAATTGAAGTGCAATAAAAAAATTAAGAAAAAACGGGAATTTGTACGCAAAATCTGTTTTTGAAAAAATCAATTTTTGTTTTTGGTGCAACTCTTAAACAAATTACCTTAGGTACATTAAATTGACTGAATGCTTATATTAAAATTCTCTATACACCATAAACATTTTACAAATATTTTAACTTATTTTGAGCTCTTTACGGACATTTTCAGTTTTTTTTTTCTATAAATATCAATTCAATTTTATTTGTTGGGTACAAAAGCTTGAAAATTTAATAGAAGGCTAACAGTACCTATATTGGTTCAAAGGCAGATGAAAAAAATTAAAAATCCATAGTCACAATTTTTTTTTTATAAAGCATTTAAACTTTAAAGTTCAAATATTGACAAAATACTTAAAAATGATGAAAATTTGGAAATTATTTTGAGTTTGAAATTCATAAAAAATTTTCTTTTTAAATCTAAGATTTTAAAATTTAATACAAGATTTCTTATAAGACTATCTACCTTTATGAAAAAAAAAATGTCTATAAGAAAGTCAAATTAAATTTTTATAAGCGTTTGAATTTCATATTTTTACGATATTGGATATTCACTCGATTTCTCATAAAACCATTCTGTTATTTTATTGTTATTCAAAAACAAATGACTGTAGGTACTTGAAAATTTCACCGAATGTTTAAATTAGCATTTTCTATACACCATAAAATTTGAAAATAATTTGACTCTTTTTGAGTTGTTTACGGGAATTGTCAGTTTTAAATTTTTTTAGTTTTTTTTTTCTATACATATCAATAAAGTTTTATCTGTTATGCCAAAAATTGTAAAAATTTAATACAAGGCTCCTGATATATTGTTACAAAAGCAATTGAAAAATATTAAAAATAGAAAGGCACAATTTTTTTTTATAATCATTTAAAGATCGACTTATATTCAGCAACCAAAAAATATTAAAAAGTATTGATAATAAATTACTTTTTTATTTATCTACTTTATATACTTTATTATTTATTTATCAATACTTTTTGATATTTTTTGGTTGCTGAATATAAACAATTTATGAGGAACCGGCCATGTATTACATTTTCAAGCTTTTTGACTTTGAAATTTAAGTGTATGAATATAAATCTAAAAAACTAATAAAATTAAAAAATTTCAAAAGTCTATAAATAATTTAAAAAGAGCCCAAATGTTTTTTTAAAATTTATATCATGTTTAGAAAATATTTAAATATTTGATCAAAAATTACCTACGGTTGTTTATTTTGGAATGACAACAAAACAAGTCGCTCTGCTGTACAGTAGGTTATAATTGGGTCACGGTAATGGATGGTGTTAAATCTGAATTCAATGATATAATATCATTGTATAAGAAAAACGATTCTGAGCGAAAACGGTCAGTCAGGCCTATGATATTACAAAGTATATTTGATGATATTATTGTGAATAAAGTAATTTATATATAACCTATTTACGTGGAACCTTGTTTTAAATTTTCAATTCTTAGCTATGAAAGTTGAACATCTTATACATTTTTAGATACAAAATAATTATTACATTTTAAATTTGATAAATTTTGTCAAAATTCGAACTTTAAATACTTATAAAAAAAAATTGTGCCTTTGTATTTTTAATATTTTTCAATTTCTATTGTAACAATATATCAGGAGCCTCGTATTAAATTTTATAATACATGGGCCGGTTCCTCATAAATTGTTTATATTCAGCAACCAAAAATATCAAAAAGTATTGATAATAAATTACTGGTCACCATTTTTGAAGCTATTAAAGCTAACGAAAATCGTCAAAATTGCAAATTTTCGTAAATTATTTTGAATTTGAACATTCATAAGAAATTAATTTTCACATCCAATTTTTCATTTTTACAATTTGTATTCGTGCAAGATCCCTCCTCATAAATATTGTTGTTATCGGAATTAAATAAAAACGATGGCATAATAAAGCCACATTGTTTTTGGACTTTTGGTTCCATACTAAAAGTAAATTTTCTATATTGCTATTTATTTGATATAATATAAACGGAATAGACGGATACAATAAATCAAAGTGTGATGTATTTTTAAGAAACTTTCAACTTACTGGAGACTCATAATATTATAAATGATCATAATATTATCTAATATTATTCATTATATCTTATTTCTAGGCCATTCTCTTCATCACGGAACGTCGCGAACGTGGATGCTTTGACCACGGTCTATGGTTACGGTGGTAACAAATTTGCGTCTAATCGACCCGGCAGTATGAGTGAAACCAATTTGCTGAAGTATCGTCCTCAGAAAGATGGCGGACCGACATCCACAGTGCGACCAGAATCGGCTCTTGGCCTTTTGCAAGGTACGTACCTATAGTGTTGTACTGATGTAAATGGACAAAGTATCCATGGTGCCCAATAAATATGGGAAAAAAATGTTGGCCTAACGTGTAGAATATAATATTGGGTATACCGATGATTGGACGATTGTAGCTTTTTGTTTTGTTCAAAGGAACGGTTTTTTAAGCTATGCACTGTTATATGATAATATTAAAATAGTTCGTCGCCTCGTCGGGTATAAATTATGGTAATGTGGCGCATTGTACCTATTGTGTCGATATAAATGAAGAGAGATAAGCGCCGATATATTGTATAGCATATTGTATTGATATTTGACGTATTTATTGCAATAGCATATATATTACAATATGTTCGCTGTAACGTTTTTTAATTTAAAATGTACTCGTTGAAATTAAAATAAATTAAACAACATTTATAAATAAATAACATAATTTGAAATATAATAATAAAAGTGAAATAATAAGCAGGTACCTATTTCTTATTAAAAATGTAAAGTAAACATTTTAAAAAGATAAAATATAAATACATCATCGCTACTACTAATACATTTTTTATTTGCATTATAATAAATATTTAAACAATATTATTCGAATCAGCTTTATTACAAATGTGAGATATTTTAAGAAATAATGCACATTTTTAAAATTTATGAACAATGATAAATTATTTCATTTGAAAAACGCAGAGAAAAGCTCAATTAAATATTAAATAGGGGTTTTATTTTAATTGGTGCTTTAAATAATTATCATTATACAGAGTAAAGTTTTCTGATTTTAGTTTTGGGATCCTCTTTAAATCTGATTAAGTCAGAGATTATTATTTAGTCAATCATTTAGTCCATTTATACAAAATGCATATGTAAGCTGTATTGAGCTTATCGATTGACCTTCAAATTGTCAACCAAAATAAATACATTTTAACAAGAGTTATTTTTGTTATAAAAGATATTTTGTACATGTCAAAGTATTTTATGATGCATGCCATTGTTTTTTTTTTAAATCTGAGATAACTTATGACGCGTCATGCGTAGAAAAGCTTAGATAAATATAATGTTTAATCTAACTAAAACATTCTAAACAGATACTACAACATAATACTATATTATGTTGAGCTATATTTCTAATTTCTATTATATTCGTTGTCATTATAGAAGGGTGATACTAAGCCTGTAACCGATAGATTTTTACATACAAAAACTAGTATTTTTTTCTGAGACCTCGACATTGTGTCTTATATTACCCTGCAATATAATAATAATACAATTATTATAATTGTTAATAATATATAATAATATATTATATAATTATTTATCATGGAAATAAAAATCTTACTTTCAAAATACGTAATAATTTATAACTATTGAGTTAGATATAGTTAAAATGTAATACATTGATAAATGATAATTAGTACAATAATACAATTGATAAAACAAAACGGCTATAGATACACGAATATGATATTAATATGTTTGTGATATTATTATAATATTTAATACAATATTACAGATTTAAAATATTAAACAATAATCCGTTATGTATAAAATATAAATATAATCAACTTAACGGAACATACTATTATATTTTTAATGGAGACATATTATTGGTAGGTATATTACTAAGTCAGTTAAAAATGAATTGTAGAATAAATCTATAAGTAATTCATAATTATAAAGTAGTAATTAGTAATTTATAATTAAGTTTCCTACATGGAGATTAAAAAAAAAATTGAGGAGAGAATTCCATAACATTTTTTGACATTTTTGTTGAGTAAAATAATTAGTTTGGCCGATTTTAAAATATAGACGTTTCATTAATTTTAGGCAATTACAGTGTTGGGTTGTAACGTAAGGCAAATTACAAATTAATTTAACTCAATTACTTTTTCAGTAACGCAGCAGTAATTTCATTTCATTTTCATTAAAGTAACCCAATTGTATCAAAATTACTTTTGAAAAGTAATTTATATGAAGTGACGATAATGCTAGTGACGATATTAACTTCCATTTTAATTTAATTTAATTTCCAAGTTATTAAAATAGTTTTGATGATGCATTACAAAAACAAGCCGATAGGACATCCCAGAAAAATTAAAAATCAATTTTATTTATTTTTGATTCAGATAATAGCGGATAATAGAGAAGTGACTAAACATTCCAGGAATAAATTCTATCACTTTATTAGCAGAAAGAAAAGAGTTAAAATTTAATACAAATTAATTATGATATATGACTTATGACTATATGGGTGAGATGATGGTACTTTTGTACATAATGCTATAATAGGCATATTATCACTAGGTTTATGATTGTTAAATATATACATAATAATTGAATCATATGAATTGAATATGGTTAAAAATAAAATGATAAAAAAAAAAATAACGTTATTTGTAACTCACTACTTTATTAATGAAAAAGTAATGTAACGTGATAAAAATAATTTTAGGTAACGCAAATGTAATTAAATAAAAATATTTGAAGTAACGAGTAACGTAATTTTATTACTTTTTAAAAGTAACTTACCCAACACTGGGCAATTATAATTTTATAAAATATTCCTACAGACATTTTAAATTTAACATTTTGAATCGATTAGGTATGTAAAGGTAAATAATGCCTAATGAAATTATGGATAATTAATAAAAAAGTAAAATGTAATGAGTAAAATACTATCGTTTTCAGAGCGAAAATATCAAATATCAATATAGTATATACAATATACATATTGGAGGCATATAGAGAATGTTCAAAAAGTGTTTAATAATTAGGACTGATAAACGATAATACGATATAACAGCTAATGAGGTGATTTAATATTTTACCTAATAAATTTGTTATCTGTTATTGTTATAACTATGCAGGTATATAAATATAAGAATAATTAAAGAATTTCCAAATTTTTTTAAGACTTTGTATTGGAATTGGTCTCTAAACGTATATCACCATTATCATTACAGCAATTGAAAAGTATGACTACATTATTTAATTGTAATAAAAAAAAATAGCTATATAGGGAAAAAAAAGAGAGAGGATAACCGTCACTTCACGGGGAACGCCAGATAAAACATAATATTTGAAAATGTTAATTCGTTTAGTTAAAAAATATCGAAACTAAAATATAAGTGGGTCACAAACTCGATCAGTTTTGTGTACCTTCATTAAAATTATCTAAGTTAATTATCTTAGTTTATTCTTCAATAATATTATTAAGTTGAAAACGTAGAAAACAACATCCTGTCTGGAAACTATGTTGTTTATTAATTAAAATGTTTTTGACAAGGGAACACAATTTATTGTTTACAAATTTTGGAAACAATTTTGGTATTATTCAAAATGTTGATGTCGGGCGATAATTAATTTTAACTAGTTACTAGTTAATAATAGATGACTTACAACGTTATTTTTATTTTTCATCTTATGTACCTATATGAGAATAGATGAAATAAATTATGTTTTGCATACATCAGGAAACAAATCGATGGCTTGCAAGGATTTGTTAAATACAAATTTGAAAACCAGCGTTAAGCTAAGACCTAGCACATAATATAAAAATAAAAATGTAAAGATTCTATCAGTTCTAGATGAGGTTTTTTTTTAGTTTTGGAATGTATCGTGATTCTACAAGGGGGTACTTCGCCCTTGCGTGCAGTCATTCCACTTCCAGATACGTGCGTGTATTTGGGCCACCATGTTATGATAATTACACCGAAGTTATACCAATATTTTGCAACTAATTGGCAACTTTAGGCAACCGATATAAAAAAGTGTGCAGTTTTATATTTTTAGCTTAATTGCCAAACCGAAATTGGTGGGACTAAATTCACGCCACCCCACTGCATTGTGCTATAAACCTCGAATCTTTTTCATAATTTAGCAACTAATTCTCAAATTTAGACAACCTTCGTGAGAAAAATTTGCAACCCCATGGTTAAGCGGGAATTGAATTCTTAAGTTGGACGTTCGTAAATTTGGCACCCCCTATTTGACCTATCGACATCAAACCAGTGCCAATATTTTGCAACTGATTTGCAACATCACCAGTTCTCCGGAAAATACAATTTCCCGGTGCAGGTAGTAACATCCACTACCACGGGAATTTTTTATTTCAATCAACATTTGAAATTATTTTTGAGTTGTTAATGATTATTAATAAAAATAAAACCATTAATACAATTTGACATTTTTTACGCACGTCTTCCAGTTGAGGTTTTAAAATTACTAAATTTACTATAGATTTATAGACTCCCGCGATAAATGGTTTAAACTATTATCACTACTATTATTTACTAGCATATTTCTTAGGGACACGTAAACCAAGGTATAATTGAGAATTTTTCTGAGTCAACAACAATGTTTCAAAAATATTATTGGGATGTGTCGTTACAGACGGTATTATATAGGTAAATTGAATAATAATCCGTTAAACACAAACACGATACGAATATTTATATATATATGTGTGTGTGTGTGTGTGTGTGTGTGTGTGTGTATGATTTTAATTAAATAGCATTATCTGTATAAAGTATAATAATAATATATACACGGCGATAATGGTATAATTTTCCTGTGCTGACTTTAATTAAATCGCCGTGAAGGCGACGACGGCGGCGGCGAGAGGTGTTGTGAGTAACGGGGAAAAACAACTTTATACTTACCTAACTTTATGTGTGTACAGAAGGTAGCCGTGGAGTCTGTACCAGGCTATAGTGGTGGCGATACCCCCGTCGAGTTACACCCGATTCCCACCACCACCCACACACCCTACCCAGGAAGCGGGCCGCTTGACTGTAAAGGGAATATATTACAATATACATAGGTATTATGTAACGCGATGGTGAGACGGAGAGTATAAGTAGGTATCGTTAGACATTTTATACGGGGTGATACATTTAACGTAAGAGACTATCGTTTATTCGAAAAACACTAATGTTTTCGAAAAAATGTATTTTATGTCGTTCCAAAATAAATTGTTTACTAAAAAAAATGATGAATTTTTCTATATTATTTTACAGTTGAAATTATGTTTTGAGAATTTTTCTCTTTTGACAACAAACATTTTTAGTTTCATTCAATCTAAACGTTAAATACTTATAACCAAAAAACTACGAGTAGGTACTCATTCGAAATTTGATTTTCTATAATAGGTAGGTAGGTATATCGAATAGAGGCGTGCCGAACTCAAGTATCGAATTGAACGTTTTATTTACATATTATGTCCAACTGAAACACGAACCAGTACCAAACATTTTGTTTGATACCGAAATTAATTCAAACCAAGCTTTTGAATCAAGTTACTAATCATTTTTTTAGTATTACGTCAAACCAAAATAGAAAATTTTAAAATTTTAAAACTAGGTTAGACACCTAAAAATTGGTTGGATTTTTCGAATTCCGGACAGTACCGACGACGTCTAATATCGAATTAGGTATACCTCAACGATTTGTTTGTCTCTATTAACTAGCAACAAAAAACTCGAAAAATAATTATGATAATTATAGCGAAATTTGGTTTTTTTTCAAATAGACAAGGTATTTTCAAAAACCGTTTTTGAAATAACGATAGGGTGTCGCGTATTAAACGGATCATCCTGTATATGTGTGCGTGTGCGTGCCACGAGGTATCGTACAGCTTGTGCGTAAACGCGCCGACGACGGAGATTTACAACGATTCGCGCGGTCGCTGTGTACACGCCGCTGCACGTGCACGCGGCGGCGGTCGCGGCGTGACCGTGGAGGTCAACCTGCGACGAACGACGAAGACACGGCGGCGGCGGCGGCGGTGGCATCGAGGTGACGGGTCAAAAGGTCCCGCGGCGGTGGCGGTGGTATTGATCATCGGCGGCGGGAAGCGCGCGAGCGGCGGCGGTATCATCACTGTCGTCGTCGTCATCGCCGCCTCCGTCGCAAAGCTATCGCGGCGGACCACCACGACCGAAGGCGCAATTCGTATTATCGTTACAATATATTGTATTGTATTATTATTATATACAATATCGTACGATATATTATTATTATTATTATGTGTGCGCGCACACACACACACGCACGTAGGTACGACGCTATACGACGGATAGCGATAAACGGGTGGCGTGCGTGTGCGCCGTGGCGTGTGTGCGGGTCTGTGGGTGGTTGTGCGTGTTATTAAGTGCGGGTGGCGCGGCGTATGCTATAGGCACGCAAGCGCGAGCGTCAGGCGCCTATATACACATATATTTATATATATATAATATACCTATGCACTAGAGCTCGTATATATAATAATAATATAATGTTATAACCGCCCCGCGGGATATTTGCGAATAACAAAATCGTTAGCCGCGCGCATCGCGTTCGTCCGTGTGAACTAGTGACCGACGCCGCCGCCGCGCCGTGACTATAGTGCCGCTGCTCTTGTCGCTGCAACACCGCGTCGCGCTCGCGTGCCGCTGCCGCTGCCTCGTCGTGCTCATCGTCGTCCCGCCATAGTCTATTATTGTTGTTGTTGTTGTTGTTGTTGTTGTCGCCGATTACGGCGTTTATCGCGCGGTCGATCGTACGAGACGTGTACCGGAAAACGTTCCACGTCGCACCGAGCGTGTGTGTTTTTCCGAAGCCGACACAGCCGCCACCGCATAGCGTACATATCGATACCACATGCCCGTGGCCGAAGCGGGCGGCGGCCTCACCGCCGCCGGCCGACCGGCGTCACACGAGGCGTCCAGTCGCTGCGGCGTTCATCCGGCGCGCCGAGTGGCCTTGCCGACGACGTCGCGGTGCCATTGTTGCGGCGGTCGTCGCGGCCCGAGGTCCCGTTGCGGTTGAGCGGCCGGCGCGCGACCGTCGTCCACGGTGGTTGGCATCGCGGCGACCACGATGATGCATTACGCCGACAGGTCCGCGCCGCCGCCGCACTACTCCGCGGCCGCCGCCAAGCTGCACCAGCTGCAGAACCAGAACCATCGGCACGGCGGGCCGCCGACCAGTTTCGGATTGTATGGTACGTAGCAGCACGGGAGCTCTGCTGAAACGCCATCGTCGTCGTGACCCTCTAAGGACCCTGCCCTTACCCCACCATACGGTCCTGTTTAAAATTATGGGCCTGTCCTGTTTTCGTACCTATACCCTTGTCCCGACAAATTTCTGACGAGCTGCTACTCGTCCCCTGTTAATAACTGTAAAAATATCCATACGCAGTTTTACGAACCAGCCTATATAGGTATTGAATTATTGAGAGTCCTAGCCAACGTTAAGAGAGGTGAGCTTTACCCTGGCAACAGCACTTTCAAAATCATATATTTCAACCCTGCGCAGCAACCAAAATATTGTACTAAATAAAGAACACAATACTGCAGGGTTGAAATTTTAAGTTGTTTAAAACAAATGGATCCCAGGTGCTGGTTTAACGTTACTACAGCAACCATTAGATGAGTTTGAATTTTCAACAATTTTCAGGGTTGTACAAATTAAAGTACTGTTTACCTGTTCTCATGCAATACTAATATGCCTTTTTGGGCTTTAAAGAATATGCCCACCTTTATATTTTATGACAGGTAAAATTACTCGAATATTAAAATAATAGGATAAAATATGGATTATTCTGAACTTACAATTTGCTATGTCAGAGACAACGCATTATGGTTTGACATCCTCTCATACGTATTTATATTTTATAACATACAATTTAATGCTATAGTAAGCAATAACTGAATCTATATACCTTATATTAAAGCCCCAACCCCCTAAAAATGGATCTAGGCCACCTCCACTTCCCCCACCACCACTATCACCACAGAACCGTTTACGACGATGGCGATATTTCGAGGCAAGCAATATTTATATTCTGGTGCTGCTACACGTCAGCGTATCGATAATCGATATATATGGTCGTATTATCATGAAAAATTAACAATTTATATCTAGGTACCTACCGAATAAAATTAATTTTATTGAATGGCTACAACCGCGGTATTTGACTCGATCGACTTACATTTGGTACAATAATATTGTAGGACGTAGGTACGACAGTGTATTACTACCACTCGCGGTAGGGTTTATAACATGGTAACAATATGTTTCTGTTCCGTGTGTTTCCAAAACTATTTTTCTTACAACCACCAGCCAACGCTTATCTGGTAAGAGAATAATTTTGTAAAGCGGCATCGCGGAAACGATTGTAAGACGACAATGCCAAGACTCGAGCTTAAAAAGTAAGAGTGGGCAGAGATGGATTTGTAAACAAAGATTTCTTTGTGCCGTGCGTATGACGTGGTGTTGCCGTTGTTGTTTCGTTGTTAGAGTAGTTGTTGTTGTTGTTACGAGCGTTGTTGTTGAGCATTGTTACGACATACCATAATAATATATGGTACCATCGAAATTACATTCAAATACTTTTGTGTCAGTTCTTGAACTTAGAGTCCCTTAAAAAAAATTCTATTAGTTATCAAGGTATTACTTACGTTTATTAGAAAAAATAAATTCATTATTAAGTACGATGGGTATATGAAATTCTGAAATAAATCTTTAGCCGTTCAAATAATTACTTCACGGCACGATCAATTGGTTATTGCATGAGTGTTATGCACTTATGCCCCCTTTGCGGCTCTGCACCGGTGAACGGTTTCACTGTTGTAACGATATTGTATTAAAATTGTAATATTTGTATATTGACAAAGTTGCTTCAAAAGTAAAAAATTCTATATACCCACGGTATCCTAATATCATCATACCAAACGTATGAAGGAGTCTATAGGTTACAAAAATAACCCAATAATATTATTTCATGAATTATGGTTGCTGGGGATTATCATCACATTATATATTTACAACAAGTTATAGCACTTTTATTTTTAATAAATTCTTATTTACTTACTATTATCTAATGATACAATATTTTTGGTATTTGCGATTTGTTTTTAAGCGATAAAGTGTGTCCTGACTAGTACGTTTGTGCCATATTGCCGTTTGTGATACTCTTTGATACCCATCGTCTTATCGAAGGCCACGACTATATCTCAAAGCTATATCTCAATGATAGATTTTCACCGTCGTCGGTTTATTTGGCACTATAATTCCTGTCATATATTTATACTATCTATATATTGTTATAACAATTATTGTTTAGGCTCAGATTTAAATGTTCTATAAATATCAAAAAAATGGATGCAATAATGTGAAATTGCTTAAGTGCCTTTATGTATATAAAAAAATTAGTACACAATTTAATTTGATAAATTACATTTGTATTACATTGTACAATCATAATTCAATTTGAACTGAAGATTGCCCGATGTTATGTAGTTCAAAATTGAAATGATTTATATTACGTAAATACTATGTTTATATTTCAATGAAGTAAATTTGTTTAGTCATATTACGAAAAATAGGTCAAAAATATGTTGAAATTAAAAAAAAAAGCATTAAAAATGACCCAAAAAAGTTTTTCGCTCACAACCCGGAGTACTTGAAACACATTATTGTAGCTTGGAAATAAGACGCTAACTCTTTAAAATCCGATCCCTAATGATAAATTATACTTGAGTATACCTACCTACGCTTAATTTGACCGTGCATAATATTGTGTTCTGGACGTTTTCAGGTTCCAGCCTGGTGAGCAGCACCGGGGAACAGACGCCGTCGATGGCCAGACAATACGGCGGCTTGTCGCGGAAATACGGGTCGGACGGCGGCGACGAGCTGGCCGCCTGTCTTCCACCCGACCTGCGACATCTGTTGTCGGCCACAACGGCGGCGGCACCGCAGTCGCACGCCCGACAGACGACGACGCAACGACTCCAACAACACGGACTACTGCAGAGGAGTCCCGCGGCCACGGCCGCCGCCAATTCTCTGGTAAGCCTTCCGCGGTGAATTATTACATATTTTGCATCGTGGGGGTGTAGGGTTAAAATTCTGGAGGGGGGCTAACAAAACTGTATCTTAACCAATGAGGGATATTTGGGGGGGCTAAGCCCCCCCTCCCTTAGTTGAGCCAATGCGTGCGGGTCGACGGTGCGATGACGACGGTCGCTGCAGTCTTGTAAGACAAACTCCATTTTAAACTCGTAATCCAGTACAAAGCAGTTACTTATGGCCGGCCAGGTATACTCAAAGGCGAGCAGAGAATAAAATTTCACTAGGTGAAAGTTATTATAAAATCTAATGGCCAAACATTACTATGTCGTTAGACACTTTTTTAATATTGTTTTCAGAAAAAATTCAATAGTCATTGTAATTTATTTTAATACTCAACAAAATCAAAGATACGATTGATAACAACGTGTCAACAATTTTATTATTTTTTTTTTAAATTTGTGGAATATAAGACGTATGAACTATATTATACAATACTATATAAATATAAATACATAACAAAACCATTTCCAACTGGAGGGACTAAATCCTCTATGCCCTCCTGGATTCACGCCTATATTTTGGTATAGGTAGTGTAAGTATCACTATTATAATTATTACCATGCTATATAGGTACATAATTGGTAACACTTTCATTCCAGAAGTATTGTAGAAGCTACTTGTAGTGTCCTATTATGCGTGCTATAACATTTTTCACAATTATCAAAAATCCCAGTTAGGAAAACAGCCCTATTAGCCTTCCTCCCTGCAATGCGGATGCCCTTGCAGATACTTCGAAAAGTATTTAAAACCTTAACAAATCTGACCTAATTTCAAATATTTTACTCACATTTTTTTTATATTATAAATCGATTGAACCGAATTTTTTGAGTATTTCCGTGTTGTGGGTATACACAACATTTTATAGAACATTTTACATGATACATTTGGCGTAACCATAAAATATTACTAATCTGTTTTCTTTGTCTAAAATATTTTAATTTTTGGTTGGGTATGGAAGTAAGCCACACTACAAAAAAAAAAAAAAATACTAAAAAGCTCGAAGGTACCTATAGTTACAAAAAGTGCATAACATTGAACGGAGACTATGTTAAAAAGTAATTTATATGTTAATAACACTTTTTTGTATTATAATAGGTAGGTAGATTGTATAATGTAATGTTCTATATATTATATTCATCCTTCCGGTGGTTGATTTAAGAAAGCCTTCGTATAATTAATTATTATAATATACGACTATACGATATAGTAACATAAATATAATATAGGTATTACTTACATTACGCAGTGATTCGGAAATAATTGTTATTAAAAATAATATAGTACCCATTTCATTTAATTATAGTTTTATTTTTAAAATTATAATTTTTATTTCTTATACATCAATAGTTGACTGTAAGAGTAATAATATTGAACAGGACACTAGACCCATTATGTAAAATCGTATACTATCTGGCGCCGATCTCTAAGTCTCTAGGTCAGGGCGTCAGGCCAAGATAAGAGAATTTTTTTTTTAATGTGTTCGGGGGCTGAATACTGAACTAAATTCACGGAACACGTATATTAATCAAAACATGATCCTGATAGGAAGTCGCAATATGAATTCCGAGTCATGGCCAAAAATTATTAAATGTTATGTATTATCTATGAACATTATTGTTATTATCATCATAATATTAATGTTAAAAATCAAATTGAAATGTATCATATGGCAACTCCTGTAAAGGGACATTTTACATGTTATATGAGAATCAAACATAATACGCATTCCATGTATTTAGTTCAGTGGGCCTGAACGGTTATGATTATATTGTAATTCATACCAGAATATGACGTATTATTGTACATTAAGTAATTACCTACATTAGTACATTATACTCGATTACACATTTAATTTTTGAAAATAAAAAATAAATGGTTTAGAGTCTAAACCATATTATATTATCTATGGGCTAAATATTTTAGACTTAAGACACAGTATTTGTATTTATATAATATATACGTATTCTAGGTTCATAACTGAATTGGTACTTCATATGTTACTTAAATTAAATAATGTGTAATTATTATTATCAATTGAGTATCAATTTCATTCTATTACATTATTAAAATTTCCTTTGAATGTTAAACATATTACCTATTAAGCTTTCACAAATATTTTTCTAAGAAGTGAAATAATTATAGACTTATTGTGGCCAAGGCGAATGTATTGTCTGAGTTCATTTTTAGAAGTTTGGAGCCACTCATCCTACTATAACACTGTACTGTAGTGGGTACATTGTTTCTCAAGTAAATAAGAGAGGCCGGATTACCACAAAATCAAAATAAAAGAGTACCCATGCTTGATGAACTTAAAAAAGTAAAAGGAGGGGTATTTTCAATTCAATTCAAATAAAACTTCTAGAAAATGTTTAATATTTTATATTTTGTGTCTCAATTAAAGCATTAAAGCACAAGTCCATGTCTCATTTTTTTTATTTAACTTGATTGAAATGAATAATATATAGAAAGTAGATAGACTAAAAATAAAAAGGTTTTTGATTTTAAATATTCAGATAGGTACATACAAACAACCTCGATAACGTATTAAAAACACTTAAAAGCACAATAGTCAATAATATACTATTTTTAAAGGTATTCGACTAAAAGTATTTAAACACTCGAGTACTACTTTTACAAGACTGCAACAGTGTCGCGTGCCGCACGCAGGACTTTCACTATACAGACCTGTCGTGGCTATAATAACAGTAAAACACGTACCGTCTACTATTATGATTGCAGAACAACTCGGCCGCGATGAGCATGTACGGCGGTGGCGGTGGCAGGAAGCCGTGGTCGTCGTCGTCGTCATGGTCGTACCACGACGACACAGGCATCGGCTACCCGTCGTCGGTGGACCGTCGCGTCGGCGGCACCGGCAGGCAGGCGGCCGCCTTGTTCGGCGGAGGCGGCGGCGGCGTGGGCCTAGGAGGCCTGGACTCGCATCATTACCGCAGCAGCGGCGGGGGTAGGACAATGACTGCCGCGAGATCGCTGGGTGGAGTCTACGACGGTAACAGTCTGTTGTACCGCTGTTCGACCAGTAACGTGTAAGTTGTGCCATAAAATATATTATTATACAGTACAAGCGTGTCATTTATAGGATTTGGGGCCTATAAATCCTAGTGTTGTATGAAATTACTTTCTAAAATGGACAGAGTCCTGTATAAAATCAAGTTCTACGCAATTGTTTTCGGTTTTGTAAAACGAATTCTTGGAAAATCGAGTTCCATAAAAAGAGTTTTGTAAAAGTTTAGTGAACGATGGTAATAATAATTATAGTGGTATAAGAACAACAGTTAAACTTGAATTTTCAAATGTTTTCATAATTATTATCACAATTTATTAAGCATTTTAATATTTCTATCAACTATTTTAGCAACGAATAAATACATTTATTTTATTATTGAAATAATTAAAAAAAGAAATCTTCAACTCAAATATTTGTTATACAATATATTAAGTTTCAATTTTATAAGACTCAGTTCATGATAGAACTTGATACTTTAGTTTCTGAGTGGAGCGATGAATGTATATTGATTTTACAATGATGTGTGTGTTTTTTTTTTTGATTTCACAATAAGTAGTTGAAAATTGAAATAATGCTTTGATTTTTAATTTTAGTATTTTCACTGAATATTCACTGGCAAATCATTGCTATATCGCACCCCTCCCCACCCCCCAAAAAATCGGTTTCAATTTTAGTCAAAATGTTGATCCGGTCAACGCATTATATTTATTGATAATTTTTCGACTCAAATAAGTTTCAAATAAAGCTCAATTGAAGTACTTAATTTTTTTGAATTATATTGAAAAATTTATATGAAATAAAATAGAAAAGTTTTCCTGGATATTATATTACCTACATGTTATTATTTTAGCAATATGTAACATCTTTGCATTACTACACAATATTATGAATGTGTTAGTCTGATATAATGAATGTGTGGAGTGTATTTATATAATTTATATAATATTAAATATATTTCATATTCATGTAGCCTATAGGTATATGTGTAGGTACTTTACGTAATAAAACATAGTCTACACTTTGTAATTTAACTTTTACGTTTTAACTACATACAATAAAATATAGAATGATACACTTGAGTTGTACAAAAGTAATGAGTACCTAAGTAGGTAATTATATTTATTTTGTACTATATTATAAGTTCTTAAATTTTCGCCGCTGGCCCACGTCCTCATAATGTGCTGTCCTGAATACGGCCTCGACATGCTGGGTTAAGTATGCATTTTGAAAATGGACTGAATAACTGTGGTAAAATTATAATATAATGTATACGCCGCAGCCCACAAGGAGGGTTGAATATATATGGGCAGTTCATTATGTCATTACAGCTGATGTTATATTGTCATACCGTCATACTTAGGAACGAACGGTCAGTTTTTTTTAGGAGCTCATTATAATATAGAAAATATGAAGAGTACGTGCTTATACCATCGGTGTGGTTGTAATGTCGTAAGCGTAGTAAATTATAGTTAGTGTGTGCCCTTGTGCACACTGCTCATGGCAAACATATCCTGACATGTTACCTTCCACTTGTAATTACCGCCTCATATAAGCACGAGAACGTTTCGTTTTTTCTCAAAAGTGTGTAATTAATGTCTTTATTTATACTAGTTGATGATCATCTATTTACGATTTAGACTAGGTACCTTAACATTCATTTTACTTCATTTTATTTACAATTTCATTCAAAATTAATATTTAAAATATTTATAAATAGCTCATAAACAGTTAAAATATTTTGGTACTTTTATCATTTACAGAAAATGCTAATATAAACATTTATTGAACATTTCAAGTATCTGCTGCGGTCATTGAGTTACACAAAAAAAATAGGTTTTGGATAAAAATATCTATTATTCCTTAATTTTTCTTTCAACTTAAAAAGTTTTAGTGGAATAAGATAACACTTCATTTCACGAAGAACAGTGTTAAGTCTAAGTTACACAATACTAACAAGATAAAGAATAATGGAAATATGACATTTAATTATTTCTATAAATAGGAAATAAACATTTGCTTACTTTAATGAAAATAAAACACTCGAGTAAGTACATAATCTATAGTATAAACACCTAACACTTACGTACGTAAGGCGTACTTAGGCGTTAAAACATTTTTTAATAAAGGCAATTTAAAAAAAAAGAACTAAATTAAAAATATTGTTGACACTGGTGAGTGAATCAACTAACTGTATTATTATATGAGTAGGTTACCTATTATATAAAATCAGTTATAAACATTTCAAGTTCAAATTTCAACAACATTTGATGTTCAAATGTAACATAACCAAAAAGTAACGATTTTCGTTTATATGATTTAATTCAAAACGTTTTAATCATAGAAACCTTAAACATTCTACTATTACGTATAGGTATACTCTCGGAAATAGATGCTGGTCATCTAACTATTTCACTCAGAATTGGATTTCATTTTATAGGTACAATGATTTTTGATTGAATTGAAATTGAACTCATCCGTTACTACGACCTTAGTTCAATGACGAGGTACCCTCGACGCATATTGAGATACTATAATATACCTACTGGTTTTTATTTTAATTTCGTAATGGAAAATGTCATTGAGCGTGCGTGTGTAAATAGATTGATGATGAATATTCAAAAATCCTTGACTGTTAAATGTAGATGGAAATTTGGAAATTGAATTTGTGAACTCAATCATCTTGTCAATTTACATAGCCTTTGTTATAAACGTATTTTCGATCAATGCCTCAATGTATATTATTATTTGTTACTCGCTCGGTGACATTAGGTTATTAATATTATACATCATATTAATCTCGAGATTAAATTTTTGTTGAATATTATTTATAAAATTCAATAACTACGTCGACGTGTATAATAGCTTTATATGTCAAAGGTAATCATAATATTCCTGAGAAAATTTACAGTTATACTTTCTTAAAATATTAAATTCAAAATAGACAATAGTATTTTCTTGATGCAATAGTTTACTGAATTATTAAGAATAGAACAAAATACCTAACAAATATGTTAATGTTCCATAATATATATTATACAAATTAACTTGTTAATTCATATTGAAAACTACTGGACTATTTTCAATAAAATGTAGGTAGGTATAATAATAGATTTCTAGACGCAAGGGTTGTGAAAAGCTTATTTTTTCAACCCTTATCGGTTGCTATATAGTGCAGTGTCGTTAACACATAACATTTAGTTTTGACCAACAAAAATCAAATATTATTTTTTTTTTTTTATTTAAATGGTTGCCATTTGTTACAGATTATAATTTGTAGAAAATATATGGCATACCTACATATTTTTTTCTAATGAATTAAAAAAAAATCAAATCTTAAAATTAAACGATATGAACACAATTAAAATGATTAGTTTTATGATTTGTAATCATAATTTACTTTCTTAATTCTCGAAATATTTTTTATGTAAGCGCATAAAGATTAATATACCAATCTTGACGATATGTGATTTAAACTGGCTTTCAAGCTATTGAAACATAATATGCCCAGAAAGATAAAGATAGAAAGATTGACTAATTTTAACCCGATTAAAGATCGGGTAATACAGCTGGCGCTCTATATACAATATAATCCTATAAAAGATCTTGCACCGAATTGACTTTGAAGTTATGAGTTGTGGCTGATTCGAGATATATCCAACACGATAGATCGTTGTGGGATTATGCCAATTTTTGTCAATTATTTTCGATGTGTCCTATAGTATGTCCACTTGTTTGGTATTTACAGGCCTGACCACCTGGAAAGAAGATGGTATCAGAACCAGCAGCAACGACAAACCGGCGGTGGCGGTGGACGGCTGATCAGAGGGTTGGGCGGTGCCAAACACTTGTCGGACGTGTACGACGACGACGACCTGCTGCGATTACAGCAGCAAGACGATGCCACGGTTGCCGCACTGCTGCTGGACGACGTCGTGTTGGGCGGAGGTTACAGCAGCAGAAACTCAGTAAGTGTATGATATAATTATGTATACCTACACAATATTATTATGTCATACAGCGACCACCCGCAGGTCACAATCGACTCAGTCTGCCTCGGTGGCTCGACCACGACCACGGTCATAGTATATCTATAGATAAGGCGACCTCGACGCTTATATGCATATTATCGTATTAAAACCATATTATGCTTGTTTGTGACAGGACTTTATGCCGTCTAGACCGAGGTCTCGGTCATATGGTGGCGGTGAAGATCCATCGTCCACGACGTCTTGGCGACACTGGCCCGACACCGGTGGCGGATCCGGTTATCTGGGCGGCGCACTGCGCGAGACCGCCATCGGTTCGTCGGCGGCGATTTACGATCACAATGGACACCGGCGTGGGACGAATACTGCGATGAATTCCGCCACGGCCGATCACAAAAGGTAAGCCGTATGAGCTGCTCACGCCCACCGTATATAATACCTTTCCACCTTCGAACAATTGAACAAAGAGTTGTGATCTCGAAAGAGCCCACCCAAAAAAAAAAAATAACACTTCCATATAGTTGTAAAGTACGATTTTTCCATTTTTCGCACCTTATAACGCACCTCCTTACACAGTGCACGATATGCGTTGAATTCAAAGGTATATACATTTGGCATGTAATATTCGACAAGTAGTGGGAAAGCACGTATTTTTGGAGCAATCAATAAATATATCGACCGCTTGAAACATGAACCTCACGTTTGGACCAAATCTTGTACACATACCTACTCACTGCTCAGTTGAGCACAATTTTATATTTTTCACACATTTCCATCAATTTGTATGATAGTACCTATAATCAAAAAGTGTATAGGTATAGCTAGGTATGTACCTAGGAACGTAGGTAACGTTTCATACATTTGTGGTCAGGTTCTGTGAAGTGTTTTTTGACGTTGATAAATATAGGATTTCCAACAGAAGCCGAGATCGAAGTCGGAACACTTTGGATTTTCATACCATGGCGGTAAGATGTATGTTATGCGTATATTATAAGTATATACATACTATTGTTTTAAACGTTGTAATCACGATTTGACTAGGTATACCAAATACCTACTAACACTGTTTGACAATTCTAAACTTGTGAACATTTATATTATATTATAAATTGGTCTAAACGGGTTCTACGCTTTGTAATAATACTTCTATATAGTACTTAAAATACCATTTTGTGTAGTTGTTAAAACAAAAGCTTCTAGGTTATCCTGGGTCATACGATTCCTATAAACGATTTTTACCTGTATAAGGAAAAGTTGTAAATTGTTTCTTGGTACAACAAATTACATAAATACAGGGCATTATATTTGTATAGTATTATTAATTGTATTTTATAGATTTTAAATAGAGAAAAATGATTATTATAATATGAAGTTGTCATTTTGAAAATGTGCTAATAATCATTACTTTTTTTTATACAACCAAAACTGCCAAGCTTCATAATTCCATGGACCCATTGATAACTTTTCCGATCTCCTGATCAGTCAATCTACCTCTGGTGACGCATATAGGCGCCGTTATAGCTGTGACGCACATCCATTAAGTTGCGATTGGCACTAAATATTACATACATCTATATTTTTCAACAAATTTGCAACATTTATTGCTACTCCAATTTTAAAATCGTGTGGTATACTACCCACTTGATTGTTTTCGCTGCATACCGGAAACAAACTATCACTATATTGACGTAGCAACATATTGTTCAAACACTTTGAAAGGGGTTCTACAAATAGCGTAGCAAATTGTATAGCAAATTCCTAGCAAAATGATGATACCCATCATTTCGTTTGAACAATGTGCCGTCGTTACGTCATGATATAACTGATATATAGTTAAAACAATAGCAAGTGGACAATTCTGAAAATGGACAATGGCGTAGCATAAAGTAACAAATAATATAGAATAGAGGTAATACGCAGTCAACTATAGTCAAGTCACGATAACTCGAAAAACTTCATAACTCGCAAATTTCAGATACACCTATTATAGGCTAGAATATATTATTACTCACAAAGACTTCAAAGTAAAATTTATTTTTATTCCTCTTGGGATGCGTTACTTGACTATAATAGTATAATACCTATATAAAATCAAAATCATAAAATATCGATGTATGTTTCGAGATCAGTGTCGCTGCCACAGTCTTCGGAATAAGATTTTATATAATAATCGGTCCTGCACGGCGTTTCAAGTGGCAAATTAAATGCACTTGGAATAACCCCGTCTTACACTCGGTTGAATACAAACTACACAGATTATTTGTGGGTTTTTACCAAATATAAAATACAGGTCTAAAATTATATCCAATCATAATCACAGCTGACACTAACGCTGTGTGAACTGTGTGTTCGTCTTTTAATTTCGGTTTCGAAAAATCCTTTCTTTACGCATATATATTATGTAGTAGCGACTCTAATCACGCCTTTCCTATAGTTCAAAACCTCAAACGAAACGGTTTGGTAGTTTCGGCTGTACCAGTCGGTCAGGTGTCCGTTTTTTACGCATACAGAATATATTTTTGCTTTCACAGATGGGACGTTCGGCGGCAGAACCGCCGGCAGCGGCGGTACAGCGACGGCGGCGGCGATTCGGACCCGCGCCGGCCGTACGATTACCACCAACACCTGCAGATGACCTCGACGGCGGCCATGATGAAGTACGGCACAGGCAGCCGGCGGTCGCGTTCGTGGGACCCGTCGCCGTCGCCGACACCGACCGCCTACCTGAGCGGCGGCGACGACGGTGGCGGTTACGGCGGCTACGGCGGCTACTGCGACTACATGGACGACTACGGCGGCGGCGTCGGCATCGGCGACTACGAATCGCTGGCGGCGCTGGCCGCCGAGGAGGAGCACGACGAGGAGCTGCAGCGCGAGGAGAAGAAGGCCAGGATCAAGGCGGAGATCGCTCGGCGTCGGCGGCAGATCGAGGACAACGTCCGGCTGCACGAGGAGCTGCTGCGCCTGGCCCGGATCCGCGAGAACGCCGAACACGAGTATTCGTCGTCCATGCTGCCGTCGCTATCCGCTGCAGGTATATTATAAGAAATCAAATCGATAAGGTACGCAATACACTTGGGGCTGACGGTTTTTCCGATACCGGTTAGAGGTTTATCATATCGGTGTACCGGTAAACCAGCTGACCATTTCAACCGAAATAATGAGTACCGTTAACTATACCGTATTCCAGTTCTAATACCGATATTCCCGTCGACCTTATCAAGTTTTTTCGGTAGTAACTCTGTGTTTCAGTATGTACCGGTATTACCGGTTTTTAACCCGATGTATACTGTTTACGGTATACTGCTCCATACCGGTATTAGATTGCAATACCGTCAACCCTAAACATTCCTAATAATAACATAAAGATATTATACCTCTAAAAGTATGGAGGCATTTTAATATTTTCGACAATAATACTACATAATAGGTACCTATATAATATTATTAGGTATATGATAATATTATAGTAGTGATGGGAGTTTTACCGTAAAAAAAATGATAGGTACATTTCATGTAATTTTTTGTATTGGTTCTTATAGTATTTGTATCATTAATTTTATCAGTAGATACAACCAGCAGTGGGTATCGATATTATGTTGCTATTACAATTATTAATTATATATTATTCTGGTATTATCTTAGTTTACCTTTAAACAAATATTATTATGTTACACGTCCATCATCACCAGTTGTAGTCCTCTTAATGATGCGTAAACAAAATACTATTAAAACTATGTTATTGTTGTACACGTAATGAAAACAATAATTGAAATGTAGGCTACCTGAATTTGATGAACGGTAAAAATAATAAATTGACAGAGTAAAAATAATATCGGTAAAATTTCCCATCTCTAGTTATAATTTAATTATACCAATTAATAGTATACGCTTAACGGACTGGATATTATATTATTATCGTTAGGTAGGCCGCGATTACAATAATATTATATTAATATTGCTATAATGTTGTTAGCAAATATTATTTAGATAATATTATAATGTATGGGACTCAGCGAGGAGGTGTGCATTATATTGTTCGTATGTTAAAAATATATATTGTCTATTATTGACGCGTATTATACGTATATTAGTGCGTATAATAGCACCTCACTTAGGCTCGGTGATGTTTGATATTGATAAATTGTGTTCGTCGATATTAAACTAATCTGGATACCCTCGGCATTGTATGAAAATCTGTAAGCCAACACAACTGATACCGCATTGTTAACCACTGAAACGTCGTTATATACATATATTTTCTCACTTGTCTAAATGTTATAGTTTCTTTGTGTGCTCGGCAGCCATTCTGTGAGAGCGACAACAATATCGTTTCCCTCTCCGTTGTGTTGGCCTAAAAGTGTACCTATGTGTTTAGTGTGCAGATGGGAATATATCCATCTGTTTGACATCAACGTTTGTGTCGCAATAAACGCACGACGGTATCTTATATATTGTGTTACGATATAATAATATATTTTCATATTATATTATGTCGTACACGATAAACGCCGAGCGATAAATTCCATGTTATTATAATATAAACAGGAACGACGCATATTATACCCCCATAATTCTCAAAATAGTGTCTGCCCTCGTTTCGGAGACGACGTCAACTTCTTTTACAATGTTATATAATGTAATATTATATTATACAAAAAAATATGTATAATAATATTGTAAATATTCACTTATCGCGTATCGTTTATAATAGTGAGAGTGGTATTTTTTTTTACACGGTTTCTATTATGGCCCGAAGAAAAAAAGTTCAGGCCATGATATTGCACTCGCGTATTGATCGTCACATCCCAAACGAGAGTATGCACATATTTTCCTCGGATATCGTCCCGCTTTATTATATGACTTGAACTGGACCTATTTATGTTATGATAATATATAGGTATACTCTTTTCATGCCGGGAATGTTGAAAAGTACCCACTAGAATATTATAATAATATTGTACCTTATATACAATACACGCCAGGGGCGCCCGCAGAAAATCAGCTCAGTGGGTGCAAAATTAAATTTATGTTCTACATACATGATAGGTAGATAGTCACATATTTACATTATTATACATTGAATTTTTGTTCATTAAAAAAATCCCATTGGGTGCAATGGCACCCACGGCCTCTCTCTGTGGGCGCTGCTGAATTACACGCATTGCATACACGTACCTATATACCTGCAGCATCACCTGCTTATATAATATTATTATGTAATATTATGCATAGTACTAAAGCAAAAAGTTTGAAAATTGCACAAAAAAAACATATAACATAAACACAGGGGCAAACGAATACATATTTAATCAAGCCAGTCAAAATGTATGACCATCTGCTAGATGTTGTGTTTATTCCGCGGTTTTCATCTCGGCCCGAGTTCTAATCGTAAACGGGTGGTGGTTAGCGGTTACCCAATATTGGTATAGAATAATAAATAAGTAATGTAGTTCAGTCGTTCAGTGTACGCCTGGTATGTCGTGATGATAAGATAAAAAATATAAGCTATCATAATAATAATATGTTTTCCTTTTTACAGCGGGAATACTGTTTTAAAACGTTGGCTCGTTTGTATTACCTATAATAATATGTAAAATTGAACAAACCATTAATTCATGTACGAAATGTCAAGGCAAACGAAATTATTTATATTTTATTATATTATATTTTTCAGTATAACTGTGTTTTGTACATAATTGTCGACGAGTCATTAATGATAAATTAAAACTGACGATATTGACAATAATGCGATATTGTAGATTGACGAATCATAATAAATAATTATGCATACCTAACTCGTATCACTCGATATACTATAGCGTTTAAAACTGTTATTGATCTTACATTAATTTATGCTTTTTGAATTTTATCGAATTATATTATTGTAATGCTAAAATGTTCCACACGGTTTCTGTGTATACCTGTACGTGAAATGTTTTTATAGGATATCAACGAGCCGGGAAAATGTTTACTGATGATAATAATTTATGTTGGAATGGAATAATATTATGTAATAATACAATAAGCGCATATTCCGAATATCTGCCTTCGCACATATTTTAATCGGTTAAATTGAGGTTACGCTTTTCCAAATATATTCGAAACCGTATTTTATTTACAATCAATACTTACACGAATTTGTAACAACATCAATTTAAAACAGGATATAATAGTCTGACGAACTTTATAGAAACGCGTGCATAGGTTAGGTTAAGCGATACCTACCAACATGGATAAAATAATATAGATATACTCAATATTGGTTTTGTGTAGATACAGTACCGTTAAGGGAAAGTTTGTGAAATATATTATTATCTCGCTATACAGATAATGTATCGAAAGTTTTCATAGTTTCCAGTTTCCACTCACAATAATTCTAGTACGGTGGTCATACATATTATTATATTACTAGTATAGATATGATAGTATATTACTAGGATGTTAAACGTCCATAAAAAATCTTTAGTAAATATCTAAGTAAAATTGACTTGAAGAAATAACTCCCACCCCATATGTACACTGTGGTAAGGGTATGTGTGTGTGTGTGTGTGTGTGTGTGTGGTACATATTTATTTTTAGCTATACCTTTATATAATATATTATGTAATATGTATATTTATATTGCATGAATGCATACATATGTACAGTAGAAATCGGTTATAACGACATTAGAGGGGATGGTAAAAAATGATTGTCTTATTCGACATCATATCATACCTAGGTATACTAATCTATATTCGGTAAATATTTTACTTTCAGTTTGTTTTGAATTTTTTACAATTTGATATTTATCAAATATTTTCATCCGATATGGTCACGCTAACCAGTAAATCTTCAATTCAGTTGACTCTAGATTATTAAAAGTTGGAGGGAGTTATGAAAAACTTCGAATAACTAAGGGTTTGATTAAGAAGTTAAAAGCTAAGAGATTCAAAAATTGAGAGGGTAAAAAAAAATTGGATGCAAAAAAATGTAATGCAAAAATGTAATGCATGTACCTATATAATACAAACACAACATGATGCCTTATCAATCAACAGCATCTAGCTTTAAATACATTAATGGTAGGTATCTATCTGTTTACTTTCCTGCCAAACTATTTCCATTCTTCACAACTTCTTAGAGTTAAAATTTTTTTCAATTCTGAATAATTATGTCTTGGTTGAGTGGTTGCTAGTGCCTAGTGGTATTTGTTGGGAAAAAAAATGAATCTACAATTAGGGATATTACATAAATGTGGGAGTTATTGTAAACTGTACAGTACAGTACAAAAAATGGAAAATGTTGCGTTTCTGATTTTTCATACCCACATCCAGTAAAATCATAACTCCATTAAATAACTATTTGGTCGACCATGCGTTTTCTTTGAATGGTAGGTTGAAGGAAAATCTTTATGCCTGAAAAAAAAATTTCTTAAAATGTATAGTTTAACTATTTTTATATAAACCATGTTAGCTCACAGACAATTGAATCAACTATCAGTACTACTTTCACTAATTTATTATTATATTATACACATGTATGTGTTCTTTTGTAGCATTTACTAAGAATTATGATCATACAAATGTAACAAAATAATATAACATAACTTATCTATAAATATAAATACATAAATATTTCATTTATTAGATATTTCTCAAATCTCAAGGAAAACAAATCTTACATTATAGATATTATGTTAATGGGCCTGCAAACGACCTGTTTATTTTGCTCAAAAACATCTCTCACAGAAAAAACTCAAACTCCTAGGAAAGAATTCGATTTTGATTTTTTTTTCTTTTGCAAAGACAATGAATTCTTATAAGAAGTATTTCTAAAACATATTAATATAATATATTAGTTTTCACAAGATATTTTTTATCAATTTTGTTTTAAACAACGTAAATAATCAAAGAACAATGTGCTTTGTAGAAAATCATCCTTTCTCTAGCAAAAAGAAATAAAAATTGTTGTTTTTAAGAAATGGTTATACCTAATAACAATAGTAATACAATATCATACATAAGAATAATATAAATTTACCGGTAAAAAATTTGCCTCACCCTCCTCCCCCAAAATAAGCGTGTCGTCTTATAATACACTCGATTTCTACTGTATATATATATATAATATTATATAACGTACCTATGAGTGGAACCGACATGGGAAAGCGTGACGGGGGCGTTTTGTGCATATATCGTATACAACAGGTGGCTGCTACGCGGGACGGCGGCCGATGACCGAGGACGAGTGTCAAGTGTTTGCGCGCGCGGCCGAAAAGATAGCCGAGGAACGGTCCATGGAGCGGATCGCGTCCACGTTCCGGACCGCTGCGGCCGCGGCCGCCGAGGATTACATGCGCCGCGGTGGCGTCCACGGTGGCGGCGAGTACGGCACGGCGGCCGGCTGCGTGGTCGGCGATTACACGCCCCCGCACGCCATGCCGCTGTTGCCGGACATGCCGACCAGGAGCAGGAGGCTGCTGGAGAACCTGGGAAGTTCGCCGATCACGGATTCCGTGCTATTGGACGGCGAACAGAAAGCCATGCAGAAGAAAGTCAACTTTCTCAACGTCCTCTGAGACGGATAATAAAACAACTGCAAACGCGTCGTCGCTTACGACAATACATTATATAATAATAAAAATAGATAATAATAATATTATGATAATATTATGTGTTCCATGTGCCGGGGCTTGACATCCGAACGGAAGTTTTCCATTTTAATTTCAATTTTTACTCGTTTCTTACATTTCGTAATTGGATGTTTAACATAATTTTTCTTTTTTTTTACTCGATCAAAATATAATTTTTACGTTTTAAGATTTAAATTTTGATTTTAACCTACGAGCAGGATCACCTGCATTCCAACGCATTCCAAACGCGCTATTAAATCGAAATATTTGTTATTATAGTAGGTATTACCAACTACTTTACTGACGAACAGTATTATTACAGATCTGTTGGCTATTGTTGAGTTTTAAATTTTAATTCATTTTTCTTTAATTTCGTTTTTTGATTTAATCATTATTTCGATTTGATATTACTTTTGGTTTCTCAGTAGATTTCTTATCGATATTTTTTATCGATTTCAAGCCCGGCCATGTACCTTTAATTACCTCCTAGTTTACCTATACTTAGCTGTTATGTTATATACATATTATTGTATTGTATACCTACCTCACTTGACCCCGATGGACGACTGCCCATGTACACATGACTTTCGGTGGGCGGCCGGATCGACATGCACAATAATAATCACATAATATTATACTTACGAAATCGATTGGATTTCACACCTCCTTCGAAAATACGAACCATATACGCATAGTACATTAATTTATACTCAGTGTCCTGTTTACTCTCATACACCTAGGTACTAATATCGTAAAAACTATAAGATTTAGGTAATAATCACAATATAGTTATGAATTGAATCAATTTGTTAATGTTTAGAAAATTATATACGTCCACTAAAAAAATAGATATGATATTTACTAATTTAATTTTTAAAAATCTTGTTCTCAATAATATTTTTATGAAACATAGAAATGTTATTTAACTGTGAACACGGCACTGAGTGTACATACCTACATAGTATATACTGTACAACATACATTCTTTGTACATAGGTACTAAACGCACATAACTATTGAACTTACACGTACAACAAAAATGACTGTACAACGATTCTATAGCATCTGAGTTGAAAATATTATTATAGGTCCCCGTTGTAGGCACACCCACCTATATTATTACCACGTCCATATACCGTATTTTGTATAACGTACGAACGCCGTCCAATGTTTTTCGACCGTTTGCCAAATTATACGTATACAGCCTATAACAGGCTTTAGTTAGGAATAATATGTGTGTCGTATCGTTAATTCCCGAACGGTGCTTTATGTTTACTATAATATTGTGATTCACGATGTAGCTTCATTGAAAAAGCGTCAGCGGAGTGTATGGTATTATATAATTAATATTATTATTATTACGCGGAAATCGACTTTATAACCGTACAGACGATATTGTATTCGGGCGATATTATTAGTACGTTTCATAATACCTATGTTAAAACTAAGTGTTTTGCGCCATTCCGAATGGAAATCCCTAATCAGCCATCAGCAAACTTTCCGGTTTGTCATTTCGTTTTGTATAGGATTACCTACACGGGATCTTATCACGACACGGTGAAGTGTTTTCCTGCAGTAATCGATCATTTCACGTCACGTGGTATCGATCAATCACACAAACGTATTTCGATTTTCGTTTTTGTCCCGTTACCTACCCCCAGGCCGGATTTGAACTATACCTATAAATCTGTTATTAATAAGACTCGTCCCTATATTGAGACTTAACATAAGACGTATTACATTATTAATGAAATAATGCTATACTCCATTAGTTTCTAATAGCTATAATAATTATCGTTGAAAACGCCGAAGGTTGGCGAAAAACATTAATATTAGATATTAACTATTATAAGGGCTTCCTCGTGGTTTCAAATCATTTCGAAACGGTATACTATAAGTATAATATTATGTACCTAATTTATTGTTTTAAGCCATCAATCAACTCCAGTGATCTCGACGTGTGCGTGATCATGTCAGTTTTCAATACAACTATTTTTGGTATCAGATTTGATACCGTTGCAGACGTAAACATTTACCGAAAAGTTGTTATAAGAATATCACAATTTATTAATTGTCGTTTAGGTAGATAGGTATATTACTCCACAAAGGGTGACAAACAATGATAATTTTCCATTATTACTTATACATCGCACTGGTTAGAAATCACATATAATATTATAATTATACAAATAAAAATTAATATATAAATAGGTATATACATTCATTGATAAATGATAAGTGTTGAACGCTTGGTTACTGGTTTATGTAGTTTTGAAAACAAATTGAACTATTTTTTTTACATAATACCTACTCATAGTTATAATTAATAATAAATCACAATAATAATAATGCCGATTCGTATCAAAATTTGATAAATTAACGAGCCATACTATAGTCACAAACGTGGATTGATAATATATGCTATAACGTACAGACGTACAGTTAGGTAGGTATCATAGTTATTGCAATGTACTCAGATTTTATACTGCCGCAAAAATAATTCATAAATGTATATGTTTAAAAAAAATAGATATTATTGATTTATATTTGCAATAAAAAAATAACGCACACTCTTCATTACCACAAGCTCAATATTGACATATTTTATGTAATAAAAAAAAGTAAATGAAAAACAATTTGTAAACCCCCAACGGCTTTGGACGTTTTTTAGTCGAATTGATCAATCGGTTTTAATTCATGTTTCAGATGTAACTAATGTACCTAAGTAACATCAACGCACAATAATATTAGGTATAATCTATAAATCATAATAATTAAATAATTACATAATATTTCAGACTTCGTTACGAACGTAACATAATATTAACCACAACTATTTTTTACCAATTGTATTGTTTACTGCCGTTTGTGGTTTGTACTAAGTCTAGTCGAATCTTAGCTTTAGAAGTTTTCGTTAGATAATAATATGATGTCATATCGATCTGTTATCGAATTAATTAATTACTAAAAAAATTAATCATTTCCGAATGTTTCGTCGTCGTTCGTTTTAATCTTTTGTTTATTTATCACATATAAAAACGATTTATTTATTTGTGATCATAAGTTAAAAGTTTATAATCTGTCCACGTTAAGAATATACCACTCAGCCGAAAAAAACTCATCGTGTTCGCGCATAATCACCACAAAACGCAGATTACCTTTTTGTCTGTACATTTTGTTATTGTTTAATAACCGAGCTAAGTCCACGATGTTTTTATGATTTTCTGTATGCATGGCGCGCCGGTGGCACGACGGCGGCAGTCGACGGTTGCCGATGACTGTCGGAAAATCACAGAACTCAAAGCAATCGTCAAGCAGCTATCTGCGACTCATTCTTCGTGAACGAAAGCTGTATATTCTTAACGTGAAAGCAGAATATACCTTAAAAATTAATTGTGTTCAATGGTATCATATTATGTTTAATTAAAAACTATAGATGCCGTGCATAATAGGTAGATAATATGTATGGGTACAAGAATATAAAAGCTATAGATAAATACTCCAATGTAGTTCAATCGCCGCCTCAGACAACAATCACTTGACGGATAACCTAGTGACATGATGTACCTACTATTAGATTTAAATAATTATAAATACTGAGTTTTGATAACGAATAATCAATAAATATTATATCCTCCTAATAACCCTTCTAATTTACGGGCCAGATCAGGTGACAAATTGTTGCCCACGGGATTATCCACATGGTATAGGACATCATAATAAAATATGTATAGGTACCTAAGGACAGTATTGTTGTGCTCAAAATGAAAAATGCGTCACTAACTATTAATATTATAAATATGTAATATAATAATATTATATGGTGTATGATTGACGTCGTATACAAATCAAATTTATAGATTTCCATAGATGCTTACTGGTGAATTCGTTTGGATTTTCTATATGCCCCTTTTTGTGAGATAACATATTATACAACCATACAGGACTTGAATTGGGAAAAAATCAGAAGGGAGATACAAAATTATAAAAAAAATTCAAGTGCCCGAATATTTAAATGTCCTTTTGATTAGGATATAGGTAATATTAGAACGCATAAATATATTTTAAACATTAGAAGGACACCCCCCCCCCCCATGCGAGTCAAGAACTATATTGACATAGGTAATATAATAAATATTTCTATCATATTAAATGTATTATTAAGACTTGTAGTTGTATAAGTATCAAGTTGAAATAATATCGAATTAAAATGATAACATATAAATATATATATATATTATGTACCTTATATTTTATGTTTGCGGTTTGAGGCGGTAGGAAAAAAATGATAATAAATAATAATAATCGATGTTTATGATGTTTTCGTGCGATTTGTTTAGTTATTTGAGAATATATTTTTTATTATAATATACTTATGGATTTACTTCGACTATATAAGACGGTTATTTTTCAAACGCACATAAAATATATGTCCGTCGAACAACTTGACTATAATATATAGGCATTGTAATAATATTATTCCTCAACCAGATTGTTCAATAATTTTCTCAAAACTCGAGTAATTCATAAGACTTTTTTAATTTTAAGACCTTTTTTGTGTGTCATTACTTTAATTAACTATATATTTATATTGATCTACACCGCAGTGTGTTTGTCGGTGTAAAAATTACGTTATATTATATCATAATAATATGGTATATATGAAACGTTATACAGGGTGATTCACGACACGTACCTATTGGTAGATAGCAGCCCGTTGATTATTGACGGGAAAACGAACCTCTTATAGTGATAATATTATAATTTACCTACCTACCTAACCCGCCAGAAATTAGTGAGCATGCCAAAAGAATCACGCTGTACATCACATTAGATATAATATTATAATAATGTTATTTCAATTACCTAGTCATAGATGAATTATTAATAATGTAACAATATAATACTAATAAATATTAACAATTTTACCAAAAAAAAAAAACTTA